TTATCCATCTGAGCTAAACAGGAACGTTAAATACCTCAGCATAAAATAAATATATAAGGCACTCAAGTCTTACTGACTGTGAGACTTGTTGAGACTGGTGCGCACCAAGATTCCTTGACGAGTTCCCGAAAATTTTAGAAACAGTTGCGGCCAGTGCCATGAACTTTACATGAGAAAGTAATGAAAAAAAGACTATTGGACTATTTACAGCTTTTTCTAATACAGTTCCCGAATTTCTTTCAAACATTCATTGATTACCATTGAATGTTCGTCGCTAGTTCAGAGCTGTTACCACGTATCCAAGAGTTAGGAAATAATTCCTGAAATATCTGGGAACTTTTTTTTTCCGTGTATATTAATTAATCAGTTTTTAAAATAAAATAAGTGAATAATAAATTATTTAATTAAAAAAATAATTAACGGTTAATTAATTATTAAAATTAAAAAATTTGCTAATCAGTTAAGTATTTTTCTATACAGCAAAACGTATATCAATCTCACTTTTATATTTAAAAATTTCCGCTATTTGTGTAAAAGTGGGCATCTAAAATGTGGTGTTTCCGGTCTTCTAATATTTTGCAGTTTTAGATACAGTCGCCCATCCAGTTATATATAGAGATCAGTGTTCGATACAGTATAGGAAATAGTATATTAAGCAACAAGGGTATAAAGGCAGCCATTTGTTTACGGTGATTTTTGTGACACGAGTGGAGGTCGAGGGCGCCCGAGACCGGAACAAATCTGCATTACAGCTAGTCGTGATAGTGGGGCGTTTTTGTTTTATACTACCACAAACACATGAATTTCTTGCAATAAAAAAATTTATGACCTACATGTCAGTTTTTATTTTTATAGAAAGTTATTTTCATACACGGAGAGAAAAAAAAGTAAAAGTAAGACCGATACTCCTCAAAAAGTATAACCGTTCGACGTTTGCGGCGCTACTGCTGTGCTTTATAAAGGGAAAACAGCGCTCTCTTGCCAAATCAAACGGCTCTCTTTTTTTTCTCTCCGTGTATGTAAAGTCCAACCACCCCTGTCCGTCTTTCCCAGAAAGTAGTCAGCTTAGTGGTTTGCACTTTAATGTGCAAAAAAGTTCCTCGAGATGGCGCAGTACTCACTACTCGTCAGCAATATTCGTTACCTCATTCATTATTGTATTTGTTGTGTTGAAATCGGTTAGAAATCTCAACTAAATTTTATAAAAAAATGTGAAAGTAAAAAAAGTATTAACATTAAAAACTATTTTAATGTTGTAAAAAGAGCATATTGTTTAAAAAGTGAAAATGTTTTTAATAAGTAGCCGGCAAAGCTTGCCTTAGTTTAAAAATTTTTAAAAAAGTTTAAAACTTTTAAATTTTTATTTAGGGTCAAAATAAGTGAAACCGGCCACTTGAAAAATTTTTATCTCCAATATTCAAGTTATCTATGATTTTTAGTAGATATATGAGTACACTTTTTCCCCCTAAAATATTTTTCAAAAAAAAATTTTATTTTTGAAGTAATTAGGTATTGAAGTTTTAGGTCATTTTATTTTCATTTTATTATTACTTTGAAACAAATAAAGATAATTAAGTAATTTTTTTTTTAAATTAAAGCTTAAAGTCTATACTTTAAAGATGAAATAAAGCGATTGCTAAAAAATGAAAATTTATAATTGTTATTAACAATTCTTTTAAACAATTGCAAATTGAAGAATGTTCTCAATGTTTTTGAAAGATTAAATTACCATATATTGATGCGCAAAACTATAAGGATTCATTTAAAAAAAAGAAAAATGAGTAACTTCCAATATTATAGAAATTATGTAAATTTTGCTGACAAAATGCAAGCAAAAATTGACTCAAGTTCCTGGAAAAAGATAAAATTGCAAACGAATAAATAAGATCTTCTTTTGTTTTGTTAGAAACTTCACGCTTTCAAGCGGATTTTTAAGATTAAAAATCGATTTTGGCCTGCATTTTGGCAGAAAAATCTACACAATTTCTATAATTTTGGAGGTTACTCATTTTTCTTTTTTTTAAATGAATCCTTATAGTTTTGCGCATCAATATATCGTAATTTAATCTTTCAAAAACATTGAGAACATTCTTCAATTTGCAATTGTTTAAAAGAATTGTTAATAACAATTATAAATTTTCATTTTTTAGCAATCGCTTTATTTCATCTTTAAAGTATAGACTTTAAGCTTTAATTTAAAAAAAAATTACTTAATTATCTTTATTTGTTTCAAAGTAATAATAAAATGAAAATAAAATGACCTAAAACTTCAATACCTGATTACTTCAAAAATAAAAATTTTTTTTGAAAAATATTTTAGGGGGAAAAAGTGTACTCATATATCTACTAAAAATCATAGATAACTTGAAAATTGGAGATAAAAATTTTTCAAGTGGCCGGTTTCACTTATTTTGACCCTTTAATATTATATTTTTTATTCATTGTATACGTTCATGTTTGTTTTTGTCTTGAGTAAAATTTCATCTCAAATAATAAATAAAAAAATGGATTAAAGTTAACCCTCCGTCACACACCTAGGGAGGGATTCCCTCTACGGTTTCAGTATTTTTTAAATAACTTTTGTTTTCCTCATTGCAAAATAAAATCAGTTTCTATACCTTTCGACAATTTACTCCTCAACACATTTCTAAAAAAACATTTAGTTTAAACATAATTAATATTTAATTATGAAGCTTCAAAGCCAGAAGAAACTCGAAAAAGTGAGGTTATGTTAAATAAAAAATCAAGTTCTAAAAACATTTTTTGTTCCACTGTTGGTTGATGACAAAATTATATTATAAATATAATTAAAATAAATTGTTTAATGATTTTTTTGCTTATTTGTTAATGTTACATTATTTTTACATGTCGAGTGGAATTTCTTTGAAGATGTGCATTCGTGTAATTAATTTTTATTTTTGAGACCGAAAATTAATTTGATTAATTTTATAATTTAGAATAATTTACTACATATTTGTAAGTTTGTGTTAAAACTAAATTTTTGTTGATTCCTTTGTTTATGTTGTAATGTTGCTTATTTTACAATGTGGTGAGCGATTCCCTCTGAACGTGTGTAAGGTCGGAATATTTTCTCATGTGTGTGACGGAGGGTTAATGCTATTTATATTATCTAAATTTGTTTTCTTTATTTTAAATATACTATTTATCTATGACTTTCCTTTAACTTTTATTATAAATCAGTTTATCTGATAATTTAAACGATTTAAACGAAAGTCATCAGTTTATTGTACAACACATTTATGTATTTTCATACTAATTATTCAATTGTTCTATCATCTTTTATGAGTTAAAAATACAATATTATTTCTTATCGTGTATTTTTAACATCACTAACAACAAGATTTCATTATAAAAACAAATAATTTATTCGTTTCTATGATATTTTTCTATTGCTTTAGTGAATTTTGAGCGAGTGTTGAGAACAGCGCCATCACGTGTTACTTTTTGGCACATGAAAACGCAAACCACTAAGCTGACATATTTTTCCTTCAAAATACATAGGAGTCGGACTGGGGTGGTCCAACGCACAATAGGTTCGCGAAAGTCGTTCGCGAACGAGACGCATGAGATAGACAAGGACACAAATATATCTCTGTCCTTTTCTAACTCATGCTTTGCGTTCGCGAACGACTTTCGCGAACCTATTGTGCTTAGGCCTTAAATAGAAAAACATTCTGTCGGACAAAAATGTTGGGTCATTTGGCGCCTCGAACACGCTCAATATGTCAAAATTACGAAAATTTGTAATTTACAACCAAGTAGCTGATTTTTACAGAATTGAAATTTACTAATTTTCGTCATTTTGACATATTGAGCGTGTCCGAGTCGCCAAAGCTAAATTCATAAGGGAAATGAAGTTTTAAGAAAAAAAGGATAATTTTGTTCAAAAAATTTATTCACACTGAAAAAAGGTTAGAATTTGATAATTCCTTGTTACTCTTACTTACCGACATTAGATATTTCTCGGATGCAGTAAGCACGATTTTGTATTAGCGGTAGAATTAATAAGTTTTTCTTCATTACTAATTAATAATATATTATTATTTATTTATTATATAAATGTTCTTATATAAAATAATTAAATTTAATACAAAATCGTGCTTACTGCATCCGAGAAATATCTAATGTCGGTAAGTAAGAGAAACAAGGAGTTATCAAATTCTAACCTTTTTTCAGTGTGAATAAATTTTTTGAACAAAATTATCCTTTTTTTCTTAAAACTTCATTTCCCTTATGAATTTAGCTTTGTTTTACTTTGAAAATTTATTTCTATTATCTACATTTACTTTAAAATAGTGTTACATTAATAAAAATGCTTTAAAAGGCACCTCGTATACAAGCATCTATACACTTCTCATTACGGAAAAGGCTCGTATGAGAGATTTCTCATATTTCTCATACGAGCTACCGAGCTCGTATACGAACTCCGCGGTCCGTGTATCGAATTTTTTTTACTGGGTACTATCACCTTTAAGCTGCGGTTACACCTCTGCAGGCTGCCTGCCTGCGCAGGCAGGAGCAACGAGAGTAAGGGAGAAGTTTGAAGTCACTGACTCTCTTACTCTTGTACGTTACCATGACAACCTGCAGGCAGGCAGGCTGCCTGCAGAGGTGTAACCACAGCCTTAGCTGTAATGCAGATTTGTCCGACTCCATCTGAATAACAGATACACGATGTTTCGACCTGATGGTAATTAATAACAATTTTAGGCGTGGGCCCATGGACTATATATTATACTAATTTTGAAAGAAAATTTTTTCGATATTTTGTTGATATTAACTCTCTGCTGATGCTAACGATCGTTACCGTCAAAAATCGTCATTCTGGACGTCTGGTGGGGAGTATGGGAGTTACGTGCTTTGGCGATAGAGTGGGGATAAGTTAGCATCGGCTTTAAAAAATGATGTATGCTTAGAGTAATTCCTCTTTATAGGTGTTAAACAAAAATTTTTTTACTACTTGTGATTAAAAATTTTAGAAACCAGTTCCATTGGATACTGCTGAAGTACCACCAATTAGGTTCGACACAGTTAAAACACAAGCTGCTAAATCTGCTGCACCCTCTTCTGCTGGTGGTTCTAGTGTTGCCAATAACCCTGATTACGCTCGTCTTAATCCAAAAAATCATGCATTTATGAAGAAGTTACAGGTGATTGTACATTATATTATCTTCCCCTATCTATAGGTAGTAAATTAAACAATTAAATTCAAGCATAAGTTATCCCTATTAAAAATAATCACGTGTAATAAATAAATTTCACACAAATAAATATTTACTCGATATTCTAAGAATTAGATGCGCTTACTTTCGTCGTTTAATATTTTTCATTTGAATTTTCAGGCTGATTTGGAAGCTCCCGTATACTTGGCTAAAGGAACACCGGACAAAATTCTTTTTGGCATCACTGTTGCTATAGTAGTAATAGCTTCTTTTGAATCCTTCCGATTTTTGTGGAGAAAAGCTAATCCATAAAAAGTTTATAAATATTAAAAAATTTTGTAGATAAAATATGAGATATTCAATACCGTTCAATTCGTTGTAATTCTATTAAAACAATAATCCGATAAATTAACAATAAACTACTTTTTGTTTTACTTCTTTCACAATACATATGGGTAGTTCTACAAACGAGGGAATATTGACATTAATTTTATTTTCAATTTAAGTTGTAAAACTAATTGACTTTGATTAAGTCACTAAAAATAAGCCAATTTCGAAAAAAATTTCTTTAAGAAAATTCACTTCAAAATGTCAAATTGAGGCCTGTAACTTTGTGACATTCAACATAAAAATTTTTAAAAAATTAATTTTTATGTGTTTAGAGACAAAGTTACACTACAAATGGGCAATTCCACGTGAAACTTTTCTATGACATTTTAAAATCGGTTAAACATATTTTTTTTCGTTCTTTATAGAAAAATATTAAATAAATATTTTTTTATTTTTGTATAATTGCCCAAATTTTCGAGTTATGAATTTTCAAAATTTAGGATTTTTAAAAGTAGACCTATTTTGAGTAGCATATAATTTTGAAAGTATTGAGTTTAGAAAAAAGTTCTCAAAGAAAGAAAATTTTGGTTTTTCTTCAACTTTTAAGTAATTTAAAAAAAAAACTTTTTTCAAACTTTTAATTAAAAAAAATAATTTTTTTATAAACAAATTAACAGGCGCGGATCCAAGGGGTGGTTTGCAGGTCATGACCACCCCTTTCCAAGTTAATTTAACGTTGTTTTATATTTATAGGTATATATTAGCTGACCACACCCTATTCTGAAATATTTATATAAGTTGACAACGCTTTATTATAAATGCTGGATTCGCCCCTGCAAATTAATTTTTTTTAAATTTGGACGTGATAAAGGCCGTAGCAGTATAAGCATGTAAAAATGGCCCCCTCTTGGATTGGGTCCATATTTAGGGAATAATTTTGACCTATTATGAGACTTATTTTCACCAAGTTTCAACTCGAAAAAAAATTTTGTTTTTGAGTTATACAATTTTTTTGAAAAATTCAAAAAAATTCAAAAATTTTTTTTCCCTCCGAAATGGTTGAACCGATTTTCATGAAAAAAATTTGTTTGTACAATACAATATGAAAAGTTAATAAAAAAAAATTTTTCGACCAAATTCTAACAAAGAAAGTCAGTAAAAAGTCAGTGAAAAAAAATTTTTTTTAAATTTTTTTTTAAAAAACATTTTTTTTATTGAAATTTTTTTTGCACAACCGCCATTTTTTTTCTATAAAATAATAGTCATTTCAAGAGTAACATATATTTTTGCAAGATGATTGAAAGGGTACTTCATACTTTAAAAAATAAAAAACCGATTTTTGGCCCCTAAATAGTGCAGTTTTCTATATAAACGAGGGGTCAACATTTTTTAAAATTACATTAAAAATTAATTAAATTAAATTTCTAAAAAAGTTAATAATATATGCCTGTTTATTGTAAATATTGATTTTTTAGTATGTACAAGGTTTATTAAAAAAGTAAATGGACGTACACTACCGTCGGGAATTACCGGTACGGCTGCACGCGCACGGCCCAAAAGCATGTCAATCACTGAGAAAACGACTTATTTGATTCAAAAAAATTTTGTTTAAATCAAACTTAAAATATTTTTGCTATACAGTCAAATAAATTTCAGTTTAATTCAAACATATTTTTTGGTTCATTTATAGAAATAATATATTCAATTCAAACAAAATTTGAGGTTGATTTTAAATTATTTCTAATCAACATTTAAGTTTGGATCAAACATAACATTTTTAAACATATTCTTTGTTTAAACCAAAACAGAAAATATATTTGAATTAAACACAATTATTCAAACAAATATTATTTTTGAATCAAAGCAGTAGATATTTTCTATATATGTATGTATATTGGGATCTCACGAACCGATTAAGATTTTTAAACTCTTATGGTCTTAAGTTAAAGATAAAACTTAAACCTATGTAAATTTCAAATTTTTTCTACAATTATTAAAAAATATGCCAAAGTTGAAAAAACTTCAAAAATAATTTTTTTTTTTGTAAATTTTTTTGAAAAGTTGACTAAAAAATCAATATTTACAATAAACAGGCATATATTATTAACTTTTTTAGAAATTTAATTTAATTAATTTTTAATGTAATTTTAAAAAATGTTGACCCCTCGTTTATATAGAAAACTGCACTATTTAGGGGCCAAAAATCGGTTTTTTATTTTTTAAAGTATGAAGTACCCTTTCAATCATCTTGCAAAAATATATGTTACTCTTGAAATGACTATTATTTTATAGAAAAAAAATGGCGGTTGTGCAAAAAAAATTTCAATAAAAAAAATGTTTTTTAAAAAAAAATTTTAAAAAAATTTTTTTTCACTGACTTTTTACTGACTTTCTTTGTTAGAATTTGGTCGAAAAATTTTTTTTTATTAACTTTTCATATTGTATTGTACAAAAAAATTTTTTTCATGAAAATCGGTTCAACCATTTCGGAGGGAAAAAAAATTTTTGAATTTTTTTGAATTTTTCAAAAAAATTGTATAACTCAAAAACAAAATTTTTTTTCGAGTTGAAACTTGGTGAAAATAAGTCTCATAATAGGTCAAAATTATTCCCTAAATATGGACCCAATCCAAGAGGGGGCCATTTTTACATGCTTATACTGCTACGGCCTTTTAATTTTTTTTATTATTTATTTATACCTGATAGTGATAATATACAGAAAAATTTTCCTAAAAGTCCCAAGATGGGTCGATTGAGTTTAAGGAGTTTAAAACTTTTCGCTTGCAAGTTGCTCGTGGGCTACGCTACGCTCCTATAATTTTTAACCGATGTGAGTGTTGAATAACGAAAAATTGTAGGATATAGGCAGAATCGAACAGTCAATTGTAAAAAAATCAAACTGTCAAGCGTAGCGTAGCCCACGAGTTGTTTGTTATTACACAAAATTTAAGGAAACAATTAGAAAAAAATATTTTTTTGAAAATTGTCAAAAATACAAAATTTTGAAAATTTTTGTTGATTTTTGACAAAATGAGCTGTTCAACGAACTCAGTCTTCATTTTGATGGACTAAAGAAGTCCACCAAATTGCAAGTCGATTCATAAAAATTTACTCAAGTTATTGTGGAGACAAAATTTTCTACAGACAGACAGACGAAACTTTATCTCTAAATCAATTATTTTTAATAATTTTCCTAAAGTTCTTCGGGAATTCAATTATTTAAATACAAAAATTCAATCTTTTATAACAATTGTAACTGTAAATGTTTATAATATTTTCAATAAATTGCAATAAAGAATTTCTTAAAATGAATATTTTTTAAATGTTTTATAATAATTTTTGAAAGATGATATAGTTTTTCAATTATACAATTGAAAAATTTTCTAAACAATTGAAATTTGGTAAAATCTACGAAAAATATAAAAAAAATTATCAAATTTTATAAAAATTTTAATTATAAATATGAACATGACTTCTCCGAAATTCTAAAACGTCGAAAAAGAAAATTTTAATTTATTTTGTTCGAAGATAATCAAAAAATTATGATAAAACAATTTTAAGAAATAGTTTTTTTTTAATATTCTTATGTATTTTTCGAAAATAATTGAATTTCTTAAAAAAATTTTTGTATAATTTAACGAACGCTTTGCGCTCAATAAACTATTGGGCGCTTTGCGCTGTAAAGAATATAATATCATATATCTTGAGCGCAAAGCGCTCAAGCCCAATATTCTCTACAGCGCAGAGCGTTCAATCTTTGAGTACAAAGCGTCCAATATTGTTTAATTCAATTATTTTTAAAAGATTTCACTAAATTTCAATTATTTTAAAAGATTTTACCGAATTTCAATTGTATAATTGAAAAACTATATTATCTTTCAAAAATTGTTTTAAAACATTTTAAGAAATTGAGCTCCCGCGTCCAATAACTCGATCTGCGCTTGAACTGAAAAATTCAAGCCAGTCAAGCCGTCAAAAAATGGAAAAAAATAAAAGTAGGAATTTTTAATTTTAAAACATACTACCGTATAGAGCATAAAAATGCGCAACTTTTTTGTCTTTGATATTTTTTTGTGGGACTTTTATTTTTAATAATAATGGACAAAAACAGAATTTTTTTATTCTTCAATTTCATTGAATTTCAAAACATAAATCGACTTTTCTCAAACAAATCTGCATGAAATTAATTAAAAATTGATATACTTACGTACCAGGGTCTACTGAAGACGATAAAATGATTAAAACATTTTAAAACATTAATTGTAAAATTATTTGTTAATGTAAATAAAGACCTGTCGGTAAATACGTTTTCTCAACTTTGAAGAGAAAAAGTATGCGGTGAACTTTCGAGTTGACAAAACTTCCAGTGAGACATTTGTTTATTAACATGTCAAGAAGTTTTTTGGAAATTTTTATTTAAATCGGATGAAAAATAAACAAGATACATAATGTTTAAAAAAATATGCGTCGCGCGGAGTTTTGACATTTTGACGCGAAGTATTCAGGCCTATACTAGAAACCTTTTATCCACTCTTAAATTTTTTTATTAGATTTGTGGAAACAGTAACATATTTTTTCATTACGGAAAAATATCGTTTGTAACTAGTGCTAGCAGTTGCCAATTTTTGAACGAGCACTTTTTTTTAAAATTCTTTTTTTCTAAAAAATTTGTTAATACTGTTTGGTTTTTCAGACCAGATTAAAACATTAAATAATAAATAAAAATGTTACACTGAGAAAACATACTCGATTCAAGTAAAAAAATAATTTTAATTGATTTTGATTAATTTAAATTAGCTTGTAAGCTTAATCCTAATATGTGGACGTCCACATGAAAAGGGCCCATTTTGGCACTATTGGAGTTATATATATGGGCGTATTCCTGGCAAAATTTGGAAAATTTTGAGTGGTCTTAGAACTTTCTTGGTTGAAAATTCGCTGAGTTACGGAATTTCAAAGTTTAGAACTCCAAAAACCTCATTTCGAGAAAAACATAATTAAAGATTGCGATACCAACTAATTGTTGTATTTCTGGTTCTTCTTGGAAGTTATTCAGATAAGAATTGTTTCCAGTTTAGGGCACCTTGAAGAT